TTTGGGGGGGGGGGGGGGGGGGGGGGGACCTCTCTCCCTCCAGGTCTTATTTCCAAATGAAAGGCAAAGCTTTTGCTCCTTCTAGTAGAGCCAAAAAAACAAAAACAAAACAAAACAAAAAACCATAAAAACCTCTACACATTTTTAAGACGTGCATACAACCTCTTTATCTCTTCTGAATGGGTGAAGCTGAGTAACTTGAGGGTGAGTGGGTGGTAGGGGATCCCTGGATCCATTGGACTAGACCACAGAGGGAGGGGAGGAGGTGCCGTCCCAAAGCACTTTGCAGGTTAAATCCAGCCTAAGAGGAGCTGTGGTAGAGAGAGGAGAATCGATTCTCCCCCAACTTCGCTCCCTCTGGAATGGGGGCAAGTGGAGAGTCACCTGTGCGAAGACATAGTCTCCCGAGATCCCCAAGGGATGGGAGAATTGAGGGAAGGGGTCCCAGGAACCCCCAGGGGAAGTGGGTGAAAGGAAAGGCCGGGAAGGACAGTAGAACGCCCTGAATCTGAGAAGGGAGAGTTCTAATTGGTGCGGAGGGGAAAGTGGGGACCGGGGTCATTCAGTCTCAGAGTGTGTCTGTCTCCATGAGGGGGTCCGTTGCTCCCCGCCCCCAGCCGCGGTCTTTGGTATAGAGAAGGGTCCCGCCTGGGGGTGTTGGGGCGTGTGGAGGGACCAATGAGAGGCTGGTCCTCTCAGAAGGGTGCAGGGAGAGAGCCGACTGGGACTACACCCCCGCTCCCCCCTTCCCCCGCCAGAACTTGGGCTTGTCCTGTTTGACGTGCCCGCTGAAGGGGGCGGGAGGGGGTACTGACCCGAGGAGCAGTCCCGCGACTCTGTACTCCCTGCTGCCCAGTCCTGGCCGGGACACTGCCCCGCTTAGCGGGGGTGCCCGGGGGAGATCAGGATGGAGGTAGGAACGGTCCAAGGTCCGGGAGGGGCGTGGGTTTCTCAAGAGTCCCACGGAGGTGGAGATAGAATGTAGCCTGAGGTCCCCTACTTGGGGTCTGGAGGTGGAACCGCAGTTCCTGGAAATGGGAGAGGTAGAGGGGTTCGTCCTAGACTTGGGCGGGGACTGGATTCGGGTTGTGCCCCCTCTGCTCCAGCTAGGGCAGCGCCTCCTGCTGGCAGGGCAGGACCCCGGCGGCCAAGAGACCGGACCCTCGGCGGTTGCCGCCACCTGGAGGGCGTGTGCGGTCACCCGGCCAGAGAGCCCAGGGGGCGCTGCAGCCGGTCGGGAAGGAGCCGCCTCGCTTCGCCTAGCCCTTCGCCTTCGCGGGGCCGAGACCCGCGGCGCCAGTACCCGGGAGAGAGGGGTGACAATAGAGACTTCCCGGGCGCGGGGCGCATCCTGGCTGGGCTGTCTCCAAATGGATCCCGCTGCAGCCACAGGGTCTGGGCCTGGGAGGGGTGGATGGACTTGGTTGGCTTCCCGGGAACCCAGAGGGGGCGCCTTGACGCTTGGGCAAGGGAGCCGAACACGAGCGTTCTTCCTTTTCGGTGCTTTCCTCCGCCGAGGTGGGGGGTCGAAGCCGCCGCCGGGAGCCCGGCGCCTTGCTCTGTGGGCGCTGGAGGATGGGCGCGCGGCGCACGGGCAGAGGCCGGGAGGGAGCAGAGCCTTCCGCCCGAAGCTCAGGTGTGGGGCAGACTTCGAGCTGTTCCCACCCTTCTGCCTGCGGCTTGGGAGCTCCTAAGTCCCTACACTTTCGGGGGAGGGGGTTGGGGAAGCAGCGGAGGGAAGAGGAGGGAGAGGGCGAGGGATGGGGATGGAAGGACAGTGGGAGGCACCGCGATAAACAGAACAGGGATTGTAGCGAGCAGAAAAGGAAGTGGAGAGAGGCTGGGCTGAAAGGCAAAGGGAGAGCGAGAGAGGCTGACAGGGACGGCGAGAAAGGAAGGGAGAAGGAGGGAGGGAGGAGGAAAGGGGGAGGGAAACAGGAGAGGGAAGGCAGCAGGCGGCGGAGTCGGACGGGCGTGGGGCGAGGCCAGGCGTGCAGGAGCGAGCCAGTGTGCAGAGCGGCGCCGGGTCCTGCTCCCGCCTCGGAGCCCCTGGCCCGGGGGAGGGGGAGAGGCCGCTAGCCCGTTCTATGTCTTTTTCTGACTCCAGTGCAACCTTCCTGCTGAACGAGGTAACCGTAGGGGGCCCTCTCCCTAGCGGGAGGGAGGACAGCCCCACTCCAGGCTGGGAAGAGGGCCCGGGTTTGGGGGAGACTGCAGCGATGCGAAGAGAGGGAAACCAGAGGAGGTAGTCAAAGGGTGGAAGAGGCACCCGGTGGCGGGGGATGGGGCGAAGCAGCCAGAGGTGGCAGCTTCCAAGTATTGGGACTGGGATGGGAGGAGAGGACTGACTGGGAAGCCAGAAAAGAGGCTAGATTCAAAGGAGGGCTCTGCCTGGTGCCCCTCCCTGAGTTCCCTGGAGATAGCCTAGCAGCTGGGATGCTACGGGCTTCAGCCCGATCCAGATCTTAAAGACTGCTAGGGAGGAGGAGTCTTTAAGTCTCCCCAGAAGTCCTAGCTCCTGCCTCAGTTTCCCCATTCAAGGCTTACGGATTAGGATCTGCCCAGCTTTCTGATGCACTTAGAGGAGAAGCTATAATGTATTCTGGAAGCTCCCAATAAGTCCAACTCCCAAACCTGTTATTCAGGCTTTTCCTCCTATGTCCTGCTTTCATGACTTGGGTACTTGCCAGCTGCCAGTCTAACAACTATCTCCTAGAAAGAATTAGCAGGGAGTCCTCTCCCAGAATCCTTTCTTGTCCTCAGCTCTCTCCTCTTAGGCACAACTATAGAAAAGAGGATAGGGGACACATGGATACTGACAGGCTTGTTACAGGACAGGAAGTCACTAGGTTGGCACGAGACCTGGAGTAGGCAGGTGTGGGTGAGGTGAGAAATGAAAGGGGCATTGGGTAGTAACCCAGAGATATGGGGAGGAGGAAGGGAGGCTCTGGAAGCTCCTGCAAGACCCAGGGGATGGGCCAGGTATGAGGAACTTGGAACCCCTCTCCTGAGAATGGTTGGCATGGCAATTCATGCCTCAGGAGTAGGCTTAGACACCATTGTCCCAGATAGGGATGAAGACGACAAGGTGTATGAGGAAGGAGCGCTGCTGGTGGCAGAGCCATTGCTACCTACAGTCCACAGGACTCCCTGGAGATAGGGGGACTCCCAAAAGGAGAGGCCAGAAGAGTAGATTCAGGAACGGGGAGAAAAGCAGCTGCCTCAGCGCTGCTTTTTTCATTAGAACCACCTCCCAGAGAGCACCTTGAGGATCTTACTCTTTCACACCTCTCTGGCCCTCTGGAAGGACAGAAGGAATTGAAGTGACAGAATTTTAAAAAAAGAGGATACAAGGAATACTGAGGAACTGGGAGAGAGCACAAAAGTGAGAAGACAGTGTCTGGAAACTTCTAATACAGAAGAATCCAATAAATAATCAATTGTGGCACTGGACTCAGGAAAGGAACTATGAAAGCTGACTGCTTCCCCCAATAGTGATTGGTCCCCTCAGCCATAGGGGCTCCAACAGAATTGTTTGCCACGTGCAGTAGGAGGAAGATGCTGAGCAAGGCTTCACTGGACCTACCCTAGGGGTAGAAAGACTAAAGATGGTCTTAAGATGAGGCCCCTTCTCTCTTTTTCTTGCCAAGGGAATACAAACAAGTGACATAGGTGGGAAGCAGTTGGTTTGGGTGGTCTTCCTCTCTCTCCCATGCACAGTGCCTGCCTTCTACCACAGATCTCATCAAACCCTGTCAGAGTTTTGGTTTTCTGATTCCCTTCTAGCTCAGGAAGGTAAGGGGATTCGGAACTCACCCTCCTGGGTGTGAGAAACTGGGAATGGAAAAGGACTGAGCTCAGGGACAGGAGCATAGAAACTAGGAGGCCTTCAAGTATAACCCCAGTCTATCTCACATCCTCCTCTTTGGGTGCCCAGGTACGTGGTCAAAATTTAGAGTCATAATTTTGCTCAGGAGATGAAAAATGGAGGGAGCTCAATGGGTGGATCTTTGGGGAAGTTTCCTCAAGATAAGGGCTGCTGCTCGGTCTCATCTCAAATCTTGGTGCTTCTTTGAAGGAGACCGACTGCTGCAGAGTGGGTCAGGATACTGTCCACCTCGTGGCTGCCCCAGCCTTTTGCTACGGAGGGAATGTGGCCTTACACTAGTTGCCTTTTCCTCCTCCCAGTCCCAGTGTGGCCAGGATCCCACCTTCTGCCCCACACACAACTGTCCCTCTACCTCCACCCTCTGGTTTCCTTCCCCTTCCCTTTAGGCTCACCTGAAACAGCTCCTTCCTACCCCCACTTCCCACGGATGCCTTGGCAATGTCTGGCACAATCCTTGGCAGGGAAGTGAGGAGGGGAACCCCTTTCCTGGCCGGACTTGGGAAGAAATCTGCCCGCTCAACAGGTGTGGGGAGTCCTACCCAACCCACCGAAACTTTCCCCCTTCTCAAGGGTTGAGCAACACCTCGCTTTGCTGCAGCGTCCCAGCACTGAGGGGCCAAGCACCTGTTGGGGCAGGGGCTGCTTTCATGGCATCGGCCTGAGGTCGCCAAACCCATTCCTCCCCAGTACCTCTGCGGGGTTTGCTTTTGGAGGCTCCCGGGCCACAAGAGCCCAGACATACCGCTCTCTCACCTGGGACCCCTCCCCCGTCTGACGCCCGTCGTCCCCCGCCCCCCCATTTCCCGTCTTCCTCCTTCCTCCCTCCGCTTCTCTCCCTCCTTTCTGTCTCTCCTGCCTCCGTCACCTGCGCCTCTCCGCCGCTCGGCTCGCGTCTCCCTCCCGGTCCCCGCGCCCCCTCCCCGCC